CTGCCAGATTCTTTCGTTTCATGCAAAAACGCGTCGAATGAGCCTAATTTTATCGAAATCGGAGGCGGTGTAGCTATTCTGTATAATTACCAAAACTTTTTTAAATAACATTAAATAATTACTTTTATAGATAAAAAATGCCAAGTTGTTGCATATCTGGATGCTCTAACCGCGTCAAAAACGGTTTGAAAATTTTCATGGCTCGATTCCCAAGTGAGATGACCCAGTGAGAAAAAAATCATGGATTATGAATATACGCAAAGCTAATGGCAAAGTTGATTGGGAACCAACAATTCATTCATTTATATGTGAGGTAAATCAAATTTGTTTCCTTTGTATTATATTATAAAACTAAAATTATTGACGATGTGTTAACATTTTTATAAATATAAGGAAAACACAGGGGCTAATAAGAGTACAACACAGTTATCGGAGCGCAAAAGATAAAAACTTGCCCTTTAATGCAGGAAAAAATTATTCTTCCTGAATTAAAGAAGGATAAGTTATCTTTTGCATTGATAACTGCGTTGTACTCTCATTTGCCCTTATGTTTTCCGGGGTAATCCCGATTGATCACGGCTCGATTGGACACCACCAATCACAGTGACCGGTGCTTAGGAGCTTTGTAGTCTCAAGCGCTGTGAGTGGCTCATGTCTAATTGAGCCGTGTCCAACTGGGTGCCACCTATGTTTTCCTTATATTTAGAATATGAGAGTCCATATGAAATTCACCAAATATGAAATTCATTTTTACAGACACATTTTGCAAATGAAATGTGGAAAAAAGTTAGAATCGATGGGAAACGCAAATTAAAGTGCAATGCTGTACCCTCAATTTTCCCTCGATCAGAAAGAAGTAGCACATGCATAACTACGAAAGTGAGTTCTCTTTCTCTGCGTAACTTTATTCAAAAAAGTGAACAATGCATGCATTTACAGTTCAGTATTTGATGACAATATTTTTTATAATCTATTGTGCATGTCAATATTTCTCTGAAATCAAATTTTATTGCAACAATATTTGATAAATACTTAAAAATGTATTCTTGCTACACTAACAACATAAAATAACGCTCATTTAAAACTACAATTAATACGAAATTTTTAATTTGGAATTTACTTGATCTGTATTCTTATTGTACAAGGAAAATATTGTATAAGAAAAAAGGGAAGGTCAATAAGGACATTTTTGTGTTCCCTACGGATTTCTATTAGACAATTTTTTTTTGTATTGTATGATTATTAAGAATGTTATAAATAATCATTATATCAGAAAAAACTCGATCATAAAGCTCTAATTCGAGTTTTTTCTCATATAATAATTATTTTTGACATTCTTAACGATCATACAATACGAAAGAATTGTTTACTGGAAATCCACAGGGGACATAAAAACGACCTCATTGACTCTCGTCCTTTCTATGTGATGAAAATCTTAAAATTTCATTGTTGAAATGAAAACCAACATCTTTCAACAAACTTCATGAAAATAATGAATCTTTTTTAGGATGATAATAACGAATCTTTAGAAAGGCAATCTGAGGCAATGCTGGAAACATTTCATAATCATGGAAATGTTAAGGAGGAACAACATAATTGTTTCAAATCAGATGTTCCTGACGTTTCTCCATTGACATCAAATTTTGCGCAATCATTCACGTTAAATTTCTCTCCGGAACTATCAAATTGTAATTGTAATTCTACTTACTATAATATATCATTTATATATACATATATATAGACATTGTATGTTACTTATTATTATTTAGTATTATTTATAATTACTTTTACGAGAACTTATATTATTTTGAAGATCTTTCCACTATCCCGAAAGAAATATGCAACAAAGAATTTGACGAAGTTAAATATTTAAAGAAAAAGCTGGAAGAAGCCAACAGAAAAATTGAATCGGCCAACAAACTTCTCTCGAAAAATTATCGAACTAACAATATGTTAAAGAAGCATATTAAGAAGTTGACTAGAAACAACTTTGGAAATCGAAATTATGCGAAATTAGAATCAGCAATTAAGCAAATATTTACTGATGACCAAATAGAAGCTCTTATGCGGCGATCTTCACGCATCCATACATGGTCTAATAATACCATAAGAAAAGCACTCCGATTGAAGATTTCTTGTGGTAAGATTTCTACTGGTTATCAACAGTTATTGAAGGAAAAAATACCTCTGCCGACCGAACGTACACTTCGAAGAAAACTGAAAAGTATCGAATTTGGAGAAGGAATTAGTAAAGATAGTTTTAAATTATTAGCTGATAAGGTCGCTCAGTTTCAAGACATCAAAGAAAGAGATTGCATGCTTGCATTAGACAAAATGGCTATAGCACCAGGTCAAAAATTGGACCCATCGACACAGTCATATTGTGGACTTGCATCATTTTGCACACGTGATGGTATTAAGTGAAAAGTGAAAAATGTCTCCATTATATAACTTCAATGGTAAAAATTTTCACTTTTCACTTTCCATCCTAGGGATAAAGTTTCATGATTGATACCCTGTATTAAGTCTGCGGCACACGATACTTGTTTTCCTGCTGGATTCCTAGTTGGATTAGAATCTTGCCATTGCATTGGTTGCGGTATTGACAGTGTCAGCATCGTAGCCAATACGGTGGCAAGAATTTATTCTAACTAACAATCCAGCAAGAAAACAAGCATCGTGTGCCGCCGACTTTACATAACGTTATACTATATAATACAGTTGTATAAATTATGTAATTATTATATCTGAGATCTTTTTTTTGCTCTTACACTAGACTACACTAGAATTCTCTTTCTCGCTTTCATCAAATATGAAACATGTATCTATCTCATTTAAGTTACAAAAGTGTACACTAGTTCAGCCATAAAAAACAGATCTCTTGTATTTGTGTTGGATTTTTCCTATTTTTTCTGTGTAATTTTGCTTTTTATCTTCCTTTTTTGTTGCATGTAGGAAAAAGAGTTCATGCTACTCATGCTTTGATTGTTGTGCTCACTGGTACCTTTTCACGGTGGAAACAAATTGTTGCATTTTATTTAACACCTGATAGCTATAACGAAGCATTGTTACACCCTATCATGCTTGAAATAATTCAAAAAGCTGAAGCCATCGGGGGTGATCCCGATTGATCACGGCTCGATTGGACACCACCAATCACATCGATCGGTGCTTAGGAGCTTTATAGTCTCAAGCGCTGTGAGTGGCTCATGTCCAATTGAGCCGTGTCCAACTGGGTGCCACCCAGCCATCGGACTTTACGTTCATTGTATTACAAATGACATGGGACTGAACAATTTGGCAATGTGGCGAAAGTTTTTTACTGTTGTGCTGGACGACAATAACAAACTCAATTACCCATCCTGTTGACAATAATCGTAAACTTTGGTTTATCGCTGATCCTGGCCATCTTTTGAAAAATTTGAAATTTTTCTTGATTAAAAACAAAACTATCACTTTGCCTGAGAAATTTGTTAATGCTAATAATCTATTGTCCTCTGTTGTTAATAGTTTGCATATAAAAGAACTTACAGAATTTCAAGACAATTTGCAATTAAAACTAGCGCCGAAGATCAAAGTAGGCGATTTTTCAAATGGTACTTTCAATAAAATGAAAGTTAATAAAGCCAAAAACTTTATGTCTCGAGACATTAGTGCCAGTCTAAACTTTCTGGCGATCACAAATTCTAAAAAAGAATACTGGACGACAGCCTTGTTCATTGAAAGTATTTCAAAATGGTTTACATTGATGACTTCACATACTGCAAAAGTTGCATTAGGGAAAACTCCAGGTAATGAATTTTCGGAAAATATAAAGGATCTATTGCATTTTTAGAATGTATTATACAACTTTTCCAAGAAATGATAGTTAGAAATAGTACACAGTTTAAACCTGTGCAACGTGGAGTCATTATTAGTACTAAGTCTATCATCGAATTGTCGACGTATTTAATAAATGAAAAGGGCTATCTGTATGTATTAGCAGGCTGATTAACATCGGGCTGTGTTGAAAATATATTTAGTTCGGTTAGAGCTAAACAACCCAGCCCGAATGCCTTGCAAATTAAACAAAATTTAAAGATTGTTGCGATATCGAAGTATTTAAAGCCAGTAGGTAACTCTAGTTACGAAGATGATAGAATTTTTGTTGGTGATTTTTTGAATCGACTCAAAGCAAAGGAAATGAAAAGAAACCTGCCATTTATTCCTGATTTTTCAACACAAACAGTAAACTTAGGCGTTACTGAAATGAATGTATTGTACAACCTTGCCGGATACATTCTGTCCCGTATTTCAAAAAATAATATATCATGTGAATTATGTTTGAATTCCGCAGGATCTCTAACATATAATCCGACTTTAAAATTCCCACAATTTATTTTATTGAAATGTTATCGACGTAATACATTATTTTTCGTCAATGCAACATTTGAATTTTTTCATCAGATGGAAATTATTATTAGGCAAAATGTACCTCAAAAGAAATTTTGATGCAAATAAATATGATTTAATTACTTTTTTAAAGGAAAAAATGCATTGTATTTCATGTGACACATTAAAAAACTGTCATAACATAAAAAATAAAATAATGATACGTTTTATTCGATTTCGACTTCAAATTGAAAATAATGTAAGATATTAACTGTAAGATTAACAGTTTGATTTTATTTTACTTTCAGTTCGTATTTTATTTTACGATTTGGATTTCAATGCTCATTAGTCTATAAGCAGGTTTAATGATCAGGATGTCACTGCGTGATACAGCGTGATAAAGGCTTTGAATAAACAGTCACGTTATTCTAAATTCAACGATCACTGACTTTATTCTTAAACACTTTACACTGCGCGACTTATAAATCAAACGTAGATTTGATACAATGACGGAACGGCAAGCACATCTCCGAAGAGACTCGAGACTATTATAACGTATCGATAAAAGTAACGTATTACTGCGGAACGTACTTCGATAACGTGTCGGTCGTACTTGTTATTCGCTAAGCTATTTTCCGAAACTCGTGCTCCGGCGATCGTGCTCCGGCTTTTTGACTCCAGCGCACGGTTGCGAGCGCCGCTAGCGTGATAGCGCAATGAGCGTCAGCTGACAAGAGGTCGCCAGCTATCGGGAGCATGTGCGAAAAGCCCGGAGACATAATTACGTATTATACCCAGAGTTGGGTAAGTTACTTTTTTTTTTAACTAAGTTAAGTTAAAGATAATAACCTTAAAAATTTAACTTAGTTAAGATACAAGTTAATGTATAATGAAATTAATTGAATTAAAAGTTAAGTTAATAAAA